AATAAAATTAAAACTGAAAGACACGATGGCATGCTTGGGTTATTTCACGTGCAACCAAAGCTTTCCCCGTAATGGTCATCATCAAAGGTTCTTGTCTTTACACCTTGATATCTTTATTATAAAATGCTCAACATTGAAAGAAATTTGAAAGGGCAAATACAACGTTCTTTGGGATGGTGAAAATGTCTACTTTAGATTGTGTTGATGGTTGCACACTCTGTGAGTCTGCTAAAAGATCAAATTGTGCACTTTAAATGAGTTTGTGCTACGTGAATCATTTTCAATAAGACCATTAAAAATTCTAAGTAACTTCTAATACCTCCAGCCCTTACATAACTGATTAGTTTTCCTCACATTGACTTTCCAATTTTGTTCATTATATACATCTCGGCTCCTTTTTGAATGCCTTGCCTTGAAATCTTAGCCAACTTCCAGGCCTATTCCGTCCTCCAACAGCATTGTGGAATTACCACCATTTTCCATGTGTTCCATAAACTGTCTTCCACCTAGACTGGTCTCAAATGAGCACAGAAACCATTTTCTTTTCATTTGTATATTCCTACACCTAAGCACCGACACCTGGTATTTACCAGTGATCAAATAAATTTCTGAAATGAATGAATATATGTATGTGCATAGGTAATAATCGTGGTGAACGTGTACTTTTGTAATCTGCTTCAATTGCTAAGCACCAGACAATGTTGTATACACCTATTATACAATGTCCATACAATCGTATATTATATAGTATACCGAATGTTCCAATTAGTAAACCATCGTTTGTTCAGTCATTCCCATCTTTATTGGAAATAGCTGTTCACAATTTCAATATATTAAGAATAGTATTAAGGAAGCTACATAGTCCAGCAGAGTGTAAATTTATTATAAAACTCTTAACTGAATGCTTTCATACTTGGCTTCTTTTTGTTTATTCAATGAATGACTTCACGGAGTGGAGATTGTTGGTCAAACATATGAAGAGTTTTGGTTGTCCTTGATAACATAGTGCTCTTAAGAGACTAAATCAACTTGCATTACCTAAATGTACATTCTCCACAACTCTGTCGCATAGTTAATAATTTGTCATTGTTTTTCAAATAAACCTTATCTTAATTGTATTTCATTAAAAAAAACTTGATTTGAGTTAAAGCAGACTTTATGATCCTTATCAGTATTTTGTGTCATCCTGAGCCCACAAAATCTATGACACACCCTTGGATGGACTTTTGTGTATTCTGTATTTGTAGTAACTGTATTTCCAGGAATATGAGATACGATCATATGTGCCAATTGATAGAGATTCCACTAACCCTGGGAAAGAAAGACAACCTGTTAGTTATAAGCCAAACCCAGGTGCATTGGGCTTCAACATGAAAACATAAAATCGAGGTTCTGGGTTGTAGGAAAGAGATATTCTACTTGGCAAAGTACTAATTGAAATTCAGGAGGAAAGATTCTAGAATCACCACTTCCCTGGGTTGCTGAAAGTCACTAAGATGTCTGTGCCTGCCTGGTTTGGCATTGAAATAAATGACAAATGGATTCTTCCTCCATATATTATATATCCAGATTATATTATATTCCACCAAGTGCAGACAGGGTTGCACAGTCTCGCATTCTTTATGAGCATCTAAGTAGCCTACAGTACCCTCAAAAGGAGAATGTCCTTTCCCTGGTCAGCAGTTAGCATTGCTGCTGCTTCCAGCAAACAGCAGAAAACCAGAGAAGGATCCTTGGGAATGTTGCTGTAACCCCAGAAAAGTATCCAAGTCCAGAGACATCTGTCACTACATACTATGGCAGGAGGAAGGACATGAACACCTGCCCTTACGCCCACCGCCCTATGCACAAGTCTTCTCCATAGGTAGCAAACACGCCACTTTACTCCTAATAGGAAATCAGGCTGATTATTTTGCAGAATCCAAAGCTCCTTAGAAATATATACGGTGAAAACTCTTTAAATGAGAGGTTTCGTGATTTCCAGAATGACTTGATCGATAGCCCTTTTTTCTTTTTTGCAGTGCGGATCTTCGACAGAAGCAAGACCGCCCAGGATGGAGACGAGACCGAGAAAGCTGACAAGTACCAAGACCCTGATGCATGACAAGGAATGCAAAGACCAAAAAAAAAAAAAAAAACTCAAATATGGCTGTTCAAGAAAAGAAAGAACGTAAGGTTAATGAAGGCTTTCTGTACTTGCAGGACAGCTCTGAAACACATTCATCTGCACTGTGCTTTGGAGAAGTTGTGTGGGAGCCCACTGACACTGGAAAGGGAAACACCACACTGCAGAACAATCAGAGACTGTGCAAGATTTTCTTTTGCCTTGAGTCATCCTGCATCTGGCGACGCTTCGAAATGGTATGGGAACTCGGGTTGTTGTCCAGGCAGGCAATCCAACTTAATCGCTGAGATGAAATGTCTGAATCGCCATAGATTAGAAGGTGAACTGAGACCAACCGTCCAAACCTACTGTATCACGATATATGACACCTCCCTAGGAAATGAACTTTCTAGTGACATTGTGGCTCAGGGAGACACGGCGATATTCAATGGGTACTGTGAAAGTACTTTGGAAGGACAAAAATAACCTTGGAGTGAGGATTAGAGTTTATTTATTATTTTTCCATTCTCTAGCTTTAAATAACTCGGTCATCTAGAGGATTTGGAAACTAAGATTGGTTAGCTAGTTTTTGAAATCGCTCACTCAGTTTCTCCTAAGGTAACCACTGTGTGCAGATAACACTTCAAAGAGCATCTCAGGAGTAGACGGTGTTAAGGAAAGTAATTGGTATTAGGAGACAGCTTCACTTAATACCGGCTGCCTTCAATCTGAATACTTTTATTCACACTGTGCAGGGACTCACAGCTGCTAATTCAGCTTTGCAAAATGTAATATTTCCTTTATATATGTAAATGTAATCTTTCACGACTTAGCAACACATCAATTTCAAGTACTCTCTACCCTGTCGGGTGTTTAACAGTAATGTAAAAATGCTAAAGGCCCATTAATAAAAGAAATTAATATAGGAGTAAACATTATTTTTAATAGCATAAAAAAGCAATGCCATTATTAAGCTTGAAATTAAATACATTTTCCCTGCTAGAGCTCATACTGTATATACAGAGAAAGCATTTTCAACTAGTAAGATGGGAATATAATTTATACAGGTGTGAGACAAACAGAAAACTGATTTCTAAAATTTTATTTAAATTGTTTATCAACTTTTATTCATTTTACTGAATCATAGCACCTAACTTTGGCAGAATAATCTTATTAAAGCATTTTCCCCATCACCTTGAATTTAACCATCAGAAAATTTTTATGTCGAAAACTCTTGTAAATAATCCATAATCATGCGTATCTTATCTTTTGAAGTAAAATAGAGCAGCAAATCCATAGATAGCTCTGCAACCAACTTGTGTATCCTTTTTATAATGAAAAAAAAAAAAAAAGGAGAGAGAAGATTCAGAATCAATGGTTGCCCGTCTTACCACAAACCACCTATTAACAAATTTTGGTGAACTCTGACACACGCACAAAATATGGACGAATGTTACATTGTTTCCTCAGTGGATTTAGATCTTAGGGGTAAGAAACATTTATAGGAAACCTCAGAATTGTGCATGGTTCCAGATTTTCTCTTTCCTGGGTCCCTGTAACTGGTCTGTGAAAAGGTGATCACTTTTGTCCCTTTCTGTTGCAAAATTCTGAAATTCTCATTTCCAAAACTGTGTCTGTCTGCTTTCAGTAACACCGCATTCATCATGCTATGCTACTTCAGGCCCTTTCGCTTAGTACCTTAAAATGTTAGGGTTGAGCGCTGATTTCATCCATGTCATCAGGTATCATTAACTAAGGGTAGAGGATTTAAAGAGACATAATCTAGTTCCTGATTTGGTCATGTAGCCATCTATGTGCAAAGGATCATTTTTAATTGATACATAATAATTGTACATATTTATAGAGTACACGTGATATTATTTACTTCCATATTGCATACAATGTGTAACGATCAAATCAGGGTATTTAGAATAGCCATCACCTCAAGTATTTAGCATTTCTTTGGATCTCTCTTTGGTTTATTTTGGTGATCTGTAGCTTTTTAGCTTTCTGGGCCTCCAGAGGCACGAGGTCCCAGCACAGGAGTGCTTTTTCCCACATGGAGTGGAGGGGTCGGTTCATAGACACTGAGCATGCAGTCTGGTTGGGAAGGTCTTATTTTTTTCCAAACTCCCCTGCCACAGTGGGGGGTGAAATAGACTCCAACCCCCAGATGCCTTAATTCTGCATCTGAACATCAGATCTAGGATTGAGGGCAGCTCCAACACATCAGCACAATTACACACTCATTTTTCACACTGCAGTGACTTCCATAAAATACAAGATGACTAACCTCTTGCTCTGGGCTCTCCCTCATTGAGAGAGCACAGAATCTAATACTAAAGACACTGATTCAATATGTGAATCACTTAGTCCCTCTGGGACTCAATTTTCTCATCTGTAAGACGAAAGGTTTAGATTACGTGATTTCTACCCTTGTGGCACGTAAAACCATTCACGATTGTTCACAAGCTCACCTCTCACTGAGGTTAGCTGAGAAGCACATGTGTTCTATGGAATCCACTCAGTGTTCTATGGAATCCACTTTTGGATATTGCTGCCATAAAAGGTCCAGCCCAATTTAAGCTCATTCCTTTCCACCTTGTTCATTTCCTACCCACCTCATTTCTATCCTAGGGTTTCTGTGGCTATGAGCCAACCACCCACCAAGCATCTGTAATTATTAGATTATCACGTGACCTGGCAGACCTGGGAATGTGCTAGCTTTTTAGAGTTCATGTTCAAGTGCTAATGACCTCTCAAATCTCCCCTAGGATTATTTCAGTGATTCTATGGATCCTTTCAAAACTACTCCCAATATTGTACTGGTAGTTACTGGTTTATTTCACCAAGTAGGTTTCAAATCAGAGCTCATTTGCTTTGTTTTCCATTTCAGATAAAGACATCAGTTATTTGGGCAACCCCAAATGTTTCCTTCTCAATTCCACTATGGGTAATAATACTAGCAATACTTCTTGGATTGTTGGTTCTGGCCCTTTTAACTTTAGCTCTATGGAAGGTAAGTTGATTTACTTTATTTTCCTTTTGGACTAGAGAGCCCATTAAGGGGGTTTAGAAGGATATTGCAAGGGATTTTAAAAGACAATACTGGAGGCATTGTTGGAGATTTTGAACAGTCTAAAGGGCATAAATGGAAAATTGTGTTTGCTTTGGCATACTTAATATGCTCACGTAGCTGACATTTAAGATGACTGGGGGTGTTTAATGTTGCTTTCATCTTGAGATTTCTTGTAAATAAACATATAGAGAGTTAAGCTTTATTAACTGAGACCTGTGATCTTCTTTCCAATATGTTTCGAGTGGTGATGTTATTATGAGGGTTTCTTTTTCTTGTTTAATTAACCAAGACGTTAAGCTTTTTATTGACATGGTTCTATCATCAACCCCCTGGGCTTTTTCTTTATAAGCGCTACACAGATGTAATTGACATAGGTCAGTTCTGATTCCTTATTTCAATTATGAATTAGGTCAAGTATATCATGTATCTTAGAAGATGCTTGGACTTATTTTTAATCTTGCCAATTAGTCTGTCTCCATTAGGAAACCTGAACTTAGTCTTTGATCTGTTTTACCAAGGTTTGGTCTAAAAGTCTACAATAGGAACTAATTTCTGGCCCGACAACCTACACAACTGCCAAGTTTCACAGACCTTTCCATTCCAAAATAGAAACATCACAATTACATGACTATAAGTGACCCAATCACATCTTAGTTAACTGCTGTTACTGTGGTTCTCTAAAAACATTGTTTATTTTTATTCTGAAACAATATGCAGCATGCCTAATAGACCTATAAACTGAGAAAACCTTGATTTTGAGTTAAAGACAGACTTTATGATCCTTATCAGCTATTTGGTGTCATCCTGAGCCCACAAAATCTATGACACACCCTTGGAATGGACTTTTGTGTTATTCTGTTATTTGTAGTAACTGTATTTCCAGGGAATATGAGATACGATCATATGTGCCAATTGATAGAGTATGCCACTAACCCTGGGAAAGAAAGACAACCTGTTAGTTATAAGCCAAACCCAGTGCATTGGGCTTCCAACATGAAAAACCATAAAAATCGAGGTTCTGGGTTTGTAGGAAAAGAGATATTCTACTTGGCAAAGTACTAATTTGAAATTCAGGAGGAGGAAGATTCTAGAATCACCACTTCCCTGGGTTGCTGGAAAGTCACTAAGATGTCTGTGCCTGCCTGGTTTTGGCATTGAAATAAATGACAAATGGATTCTTCCTCCATATATTATATATCCAGATCTATATCGTATATATTCCACCAAGTGCAGAAGGGTGCACAGTCTCGCTTCTTCCTATGATGCATCTTAAGTAGCCTACAGTACACCTCAAAAGGAGAAATGTCCTTTCCCTGGTCAGCAGTTAGCATTGCTGCTGCTTCCAGCAAACACGCAGAAAACCAGAGAAGGAATCCTTGCGACATGTTGCTGTAACCCCAGAAAAGTATCCAAGGTCCAGAGACATCTGTCACTACCATGACATGGCAGGAGGAAGGACATGAACACTCTGCCCTTACGCCCACCTTGCCCTATTGCAGCAAAGTCTTCTCCATAGGTAGCAAACACGCCACTTTTACCTCCTAATAGGGAGAATCAGGCTGATTACATTTGCAGAACTCCAAGCTCCTTAGAAAATATATACGGTGAAAACTCTTTAAATGAGAGGTTTCGTGATTTCCCAGAATGACTTGATTCGATAGCCCTTTTTTCTTTTTTGCAGTGCGGATTCTTCGACAGAGCAAGACCGCCCCAGGATGAGACGACTGACCGAGAACAGCTGACAAGTACCAAGACCCCTGATGCATGACAAGGAAATGCAAAAGACCAAAAAAAAAAAAAAAAAAAAAAAACTCAAATACTGGTCCTGTTCAAAGAAAAGAAAGAACGTAAGGGTTAAATGAAGGCTTTCCTGTACTTGCAGGGACAGCTCCTGAAACATCACTTCATCTGCACTGTGCTTTGGAGAAGTTGTGATGGGAGCCCACTGAACACTTGGAAAGGGAAACACCAACACTGCAGAAACAATCAGAGACTGTGCAAGATTTTCTTTTGCTTGAGTCATCCTGCATCTGGCAGACGCTTCGAAATGGGTATGGGAACTCGGGTTGTTGTCCAGGCAGGCCAATCCAACTTAAGTTGCTGAGATGAAATGTCTGAATCGCCATAGAAGTTAGAAGGTGAACTGAGACCGAACCGTCCAACACTACTGTATCCCACGGAATATATGACACCTCCCTAGGGAAAATGAAACATTTCTAGTGACATTGTGGCTCAGGGAGACAGGCGATATGTCAATGGGTACTGTGAAAGTACTTTGGAAGGGACAAAAGATAACCTTGGAAGTGAGGAATTAGAGTTTATTTATTTATTTTCCATTCCTCTAGCTTGAAAAATCTGGTCATCTAGAGGATTTGGAAACTAAGATTTGGTTAGCTAGTTTTTGAAATCACTCACTCAGTTTCCTCCTAAGGTAACCACTGTGTGCAGATAACACTTCAAAGAGCATCTTCAGGAGGTAGACGGTGTTAAGGACAAGTAAATTGGTATTAGGAGACAGCTTCACTTAATACCGTGCTGCCTTCAATCTGAAATTACTTTTATTCACACTGTGCAGGGACTCACAGCTGCTTAATTCAGCTTTGCAAAATGTGTTTATATTTCCTTTTATATATATGTAAATGTAAAATCTTTCCACTGACTTAGCTAACACATCAATTTCAAGGTACTCTCTACCCTGTCGGGTGTTTAAAAGTAATGGTAAAAATGCCTAAAGCCCATTAATAAAAGAAATTTAATAATAGGAGTAAACATTATTTTTAATAGCTATGAAAAGCAATGCCAATATTTAGCTTGAAATTAAATACCTATTTTCCCTGCTAGAGCTCATACTGGTATATACAGAGAAAGCATTTTGAACCTAAGTAAGATGGGAATATAAATTTATACAAGTGTGAGACAAACCAAGAAAACTGATTTCTAAAGATTTTATTTAAAGTTGTTTATTCTAACTTTATTATTCATTTTTACTGCTAATCTTTATAGCACCTAACTTTGGCAAGAATAATCTTTTATTTAAGCTATTTTCCCCATCACCTTGAATTTAACCATCAGAAATTTTTGATGTCAAAAACTCTTGTAAATAATCCATAATCATGCGTAATCTTATCATTTTTGAAGTAAAATAGAGCAGCCAAATCCATAGATAGCCTGCACAACTTTGTATCCTTTTTATAATGAAAAGTTACTATGAAGAAATGCTGAATACATTTTTATGTGCAATATTTTATAGACCTCTGTATCTGAAGCATGTTTACACTGGCATTAGTTACGTTTTTAATTAATATCCTAAATAGTAAGTAGGATAGTACAAGCCGACCAAAATCCTTAAGTTTACAAAGCCATTGGGGAAAAAAAAATGTGTGTTCCAATTTCAACAATTACACTTTATTTGAAAGGTGAACCAAACTCACAGACACTAAATTTTAAGTCACGCGGGAACCTGGAAGGAAGCCATTTGGCTGCGGCTGCAGAACTTCCTTGGGAAGCAAATGAAAAGGCACATGGAGGAACACGCTGTTGCTGTTCCTATTCTTCCTGCATGGGGATTAAATCCTGCCCTGGTAGTGGTTTCATGTCTGTCAGGAGCTGAAGTCTGGCTCCCAGTTTGTGTCCCTGATTGCAAATGAGGATCGAACTTGCCTCACCAAGTTTGAGGGGCCCCACGCCAGCCTTGGGGGTCTTTGATGTTAGTCCTCTAGGTAGAACCGGTTTGACAGGTAGGTGGCCGGTCTGTGCCAGACAAGACGCCAGGCAGTTCTCTCTGCCCTCCGATACTTACTGCCTAACTCCAGTTGTCCTGCCTGACTTGTGACTCATAGAGATTGGCTCCTGAGGAGTTCGAGTCATAAGAAGTCCCTTGAGAAAATGCACCCGTGCCTTTAGGCTAACAACAATCTGGGACAGCATTGAGAACTCTTGGAGCCTGATCAACACAGTTTGCTGTAGAGATGGTTCATTCACATACCAGGGGGGTGCCATGAGGAAGATGGGGACCCAGAACACAGCATGGCATTAGCATGGTGGCTTCGGAGGTGACCTGTGCCTTCCTGGAGCCTCAGCCAAGAGTGGCCCCCTCCTAGTGGGGTGGACACCTTGCACCTGCCCACAGGTGGCCTGTGGCCTACCTGTGGCCATTGCAGACAGGCCCTCTCTGCCCCTTAGAATATGGAAACAAATGGAGAAAGGGAGGAAACTGAGGTCAGGTGAACTTTCCAGCAATCAGTTCTTCACCCGGAGAGCACTCCAACAACGCACTGGGTGTATCTGCTTCTCGTTAGGGCATTGCCAATCGCTTTCAGAATTCACGACATGCCGTGCGCCTCTTACAGTCTATCTGTATTTCTCTTCAAAGAATTCTCTTTTTAAATTCTTGCAGCTGGTTTTTTAAGACACAGGAAAATGGGCAAATTAAGTTTTATAAACTTGGAAGTTTTTATGCAGTAAATAAATAACATGTACTCGTCACCACTGAAACCCCATTCTTAGAACTCAATTCTTGTTTTATTTAAATACCTGTGTAGATATCTGTGAAGATTTTCGTGTACCTATTTACCTTGTCGCTAATAAAATTAAAACTGAAAGACACGATGGCATGCTTTGGGTTTATTTCACGTGCAACACAAAGCTTTCCCCGTAATGGTCATCATCAGAGGTTTCTGTCTTTACACCTTGATATCTTATTATAAAAATGCTCAACATTGAAAGAAATTTGAAAGGGCAAAAATACAACGTTCTTTGGGATGGTGAAAAAATGTTCTACATTTAGATTGTGTTGATGGTTGCACAACTCTGTGAGTTTGCTAAAAATTATCAAATTGTGCACTTTAAATGAGTTTTGTGCTACGTGAATCATATCTCAATAAAGACATTAAAAATTCTTAAGTAACTTCTAATACCTCCAGCCTTACATAACTGATTAGTTTTCTCCACATTGACTTTCAAATTTTGTTCATATATACATCTCGGCTCTTTTATGTAGCCTTGCCTTGAATCTTAGGCCAACTTCCAGGCTATTCCTGTCCTCCAGCAGCATTTTGTGAATTACCATACTTTTCCATGTGTTCACATAACTGTCTTCCACCTAGACTGGCTCTCAATGAGCACAGAAACCATTTTCTTTCATTTGTATATTTCCTACACCTAGCACCGACACCTGGTATATAGTCAGTGATCAATAAAATTTCTGAAATGAATGAATATATGTATGTGCATGGTAATAATCGTGGTGAACGTGTACTTTTGTAATCTGCTTCAATTGCTAAGCACCAGACAAATGTGTATACACCTATTTACAATGTCCATACAATGTTATTATAATAGTTACCGAATGTTCTATCCAATTAGTAAACCATCGTTTGTTCAGTCATTCCCATCTTATTGGAAATAGCTGTTCACAATTTCATATATTAAGAATAGTATTAAATGGAATGCTACCATAGTCAGCAGAGTGTAAGATTTATTATAAAAACTTCTTTTAACTGAATGCTTTCATACTTGGGACTTCTTTTTGTTTATTTCAATGAATGAACTTCACGGGAGTGAGATTGCTTCTTGGTCAAATCATATGAAGAGTTTTGTGGCTCTTGATAACATAGTGCTCTTAAGAGAACTAAATCAACTTGCATTAACCTAAATGTACCATTTCCTTCACAACTCTGTCAGCATAGTTTAAATAATTTGGTCATTGTTTTCAAAAAAAAACCTAACCTAAATTGTATTTCATTAAAATTCAGTAAACTTAATGTACACATTTAATTATGAGGTCTAATATTTACCAGTCACTCAATATAAACCAATCTATTCATCATACCCCATAAGATATTTAAATACTTGTCACTTCTCTGTCTGGCATTCATGAATCCCAGTGAGAAGAACTTATGTCTGGGTTCTTTCCCTGTAACCTACAGCAAGCAGAAGGATGACCCCTTCTCTTCATATTGTATATCACTCACACTTCAAAACCCATACCTACCTAAAGGCTTATAGTAGTCCAGAGGTGCCTGTGTATCCCAGATGAAAATATGCAAAAGCAAATCTAAGATTCAATAATATTGATGCTGAATATCAAAGCACCCAACCTAGTGCAAAGTTGCCTTAGGCACAGATGCTATCATACATATATCATACATATCACACATATACTATCATAGTGAGGAAGAAGAGGTACTCTTACGAGGTCTTTCATAGAAGCAAAATGCTCTGTAGTTGGACGTACCAAGTGGTAGCTTAGTATTCTTCACAAATTCTGATGATATCTTTGCCTCTTCCTGCCATTTTATATGTACACACTTAACTGCATCAATACTTTCTTTTTTTAAATTCAGGACATTATGGGGGTACTGCCAATTAGTACAACCCCTGTGGAAAGTAATTTGGAGATGCCCCAAAGAGCTAAAAATAGAAATACCATTCGATCCAGCAATCCCACTACTAGGCATCTATCCAAAGGAAAAAAAAAGACATTCTATAACAAAGACATCTGCATCAATACTTTCTAAACATTGAGTTGAGATTTGGATGCCTAGACTGGGGCAAAATGAGATAAGAATTCTCTGACAAGGTAGAATTCCCTCATGCATTGTGCATTTCCTCTGTTAAATTTGTACCACCTTCCCAGGTTACCCATATCGAAAAGAACATTCTGTCATCCTCAGAAAGAGCTAAAACATGAAAACCCTTGGTTGATATCTGTGAATGCTAAGACAGTGCTTCCCTAGGGTCCAATGTTCTTTTTCCCAAATACAGCAGATTTTCTTTTTCAGAACTCTGATGACATTAAAATGTTGATTTCTTTAACATGAGAAGTTTTAAAGCATTGAAACTTTAGACTCATTTGGGAGCTGAGTAAAACTATAATTCCTCCCTGTGATACGTAACTCAGTGGTGCATTCAGACTAACCAACATGCATAAGGTACAACTCTATTGCCATTTTAAACTCTCCTACCCCAACCCC